CCTGCACCTATTTGACCTGGGTCGTCCGTCGATACTCGATTCCAAGGACGAGGAAGCCTAGCAGGGGTAGGTATCTGGACTCTGCCATGTTGGCCTAATCTAACGGTCGGCATGGCCGGCTGCCAGTGGTGGCTTGGCTCTGCCCTATGCAATTCCTCATGCAGCAAGGCAATCTAAATCGAGTCCAGCCGTTGAGCCGGTCTCCTCGGTCATCTTTGCTCGGTTTGAGCTGTTTGTTGCAGCTGCAGCTGCCATGCTTCGGTTGTGTCGGATCGGAGCTGCCCTTGTCATGCCTAGCCCAGGTGCGGTGCGTGCTCATCGCTCGGTACTTGACACCTATAGCCACCTATAGCCTACTGGCGAAGGTATCTCCGAGATATTGGAATTCTCCGGGACACTGAATTGGTGGAAGTGGAAGACTCGCGCATTGGATAGGCGTCCACTGTCTCTATTTGTTTTTCTTTTCTTTCTCCTTCCTTTCCTTTCTTTTCTTTTTCGGTACCCTGTACTCTTCTTCCGGCCCTCTGCCCTGAAGGGGATATCGGGGTTGGGGTCCTTTTCTTGTCTTGGTAAGTAGCTCTTGAGATCAGGGCTGGACATGGTGCGCCTAAGCGTGATGGTGACGGAATGAGTTTGGAGTTGACGTGCCTGAAACCTTACAGATATAAAAGTCCAGTGCTCCGCTGGGTGTTTGGGGATATCCACACTTGCATCACTATCACTGCGAACTGTCTGCATTCGGCTTCCGTTCTTGCTTCTGCGCTGCTTCGTTTGCTTTGCTGCTGCTCCGCATTGCTCTGCTATTAGCGCTTCGACTTCTGCTCTGCCTTGACTGCTTCGCTTCTTCTTCGCTGCATTCACCTATTCAATCTTCTCTGCATCCCCAAGGCAAAACGAACCACAATGTGCTACCAAGTCATCGAGCGCTACTCCGTCTGCAAGTGCCTCTACCACCAGCACGCCATCGACCCCTGCACCGCATATGGGCAACGCGGCCACCAACCCCAAGAGAAGACCGTGCTCGTTGGATATGCTTGCCCGCGGCACTCGCGAAGGGGGAGCATGTCTTCGGGGAGCTCGAGATGATGACACCGGCTTCAATTCACTGCTTCGCATTTGACTCGGCTTGATTCGGTTCGACTCGGCTTGGTATAGATGAGAATCATAATAGATTCGCCTGCGCAAGCACTCTCAACTCTCAACTCATTCGTCGTTTGGTTTTGGTTTTGGCTCAGCTCGATATCCCCACTCGCTTCTTGGTGCTTTCGTCTGTTTTCTGGTTTCGTGACAGTTCGATTCAATTGGTGTTGCCGGCCAGCACATACTTTACTGTCATTTCCGCTCTCGTTGTCCGGAATTATTGGCTCTCTTTCAGCGTTTGTTTGGTTTGTTTTGTCTCCTCCAGTGACGTCGCACGTACTGACGGCACTTTTAGTTGATCCTGAGCGTTGTTGGCATGGTATGATTGGATGATCGATGGTCATGTATAAAAGCGATATGTACATCAGAGTAGATCTCTCTATTGTTTAGTCAAAGATATTGTGAGAGTGAGGTTGTCTCAACACAGCTGAATGCATTCGTTTTTTGAAATCTAATGTTGTAATGCATGGCTCACTCTTTGACTTCGTCAATCCACTCTTTGGCCCAAGTATGATCTAATAAGAATTATAACTACCAGGGATGGTGCTGAACAATGGTAGAACGAAAAGAATCGAAACTCCCTTCAAAAGCCTGGCTCAAACCCCCCTCTCCTTGCACCATTTCTCAACTTCCTTTGCCAGCTTCTCCCTCTGGTCCCTAACCAGCTCCATCATAGGCTCAACCAGCTTCTGACGGGAGCCATCATACCCCGCAATACCCTGAGCTTTGTACGGCGCAAGGACACTCTCGTAGATAGAAATCATCATATCCATGACTGCAGATAGTTGGTTTGGAAGCCACTATGGTTGAGAGTTAGCGACGATGGACGATGGAATAGTGATGTCCTGAATTAACCTACCGTTACGATTGGGCTTCCTCCAGTGGCAGTTGGATGAGGGCTCCGACGAATAATATATTCCCTTGCGAACAGCCAGTGCCTCCATCGGAAACTGCGCACATGGTTTAACGTCCGAAGAAAGAGTATGGCAGTCTCGGTATCCTGGACAGCGAAGTCACGGACACCCAACTCCTCTGCTTTAGTACGGACGTGAGCGAGGAATGTCCTGTGGGGTAGAGGTCGGTAGGCGCGGAATTCGTGAAGAATCTTTGTGAGAGGTGTTTCTGGCATAGGGATCTGAAGAAGGTGGTCCAGGAGCGGAATCTGTTTCTGTTAACCATCTATTCTTCATCGTGGTGGGATAAAGACGTACTATGCTATCATTGGCGCCGCTCTCACCACGGAAGTAAAGAGGCTTGTTATCTTCGACTCCACCATATACGACGCCATTTGGGAACATGGACTGTGATGTGATCCCAAAGATAAAAACGCGGAAAGAAAGGTAATCAGACGGTTTAGAGTTGGCCCACATATCTGCGGCGTCACTCTTGTTATTTGGGCTCCTCAAAGAATGGGTTGTTGATACGTACCTTCCATACCAGCCTCAATCTTCTCCATCGAAGCCAAAATCTCCCGAAACCCGTTGTTGACCTCAGATCGACAGCCACCCTGCTGGAGGGTGTCGATGACCTGAAGAGCACCGCTGATAAGGCCGGGTGTATCTTTCACCATGTCAATGTGAGTAAGGATGAACCCCGCCTCCGAACTGCGATGGTCAAGACCGCGCTCAAATGCACGGACCAAACGGAGGTTGGAATAAACCAGGCCTTTAGACGGGTCGTCGAGGGTGTAATTGAACAGGGCGTACGAAGCTGCATAAGACATGAAAGGGGGGATGTCCAAGCTAAAAGCGTCTCATGAGTTACTATGATCCTGGAATATGAACTTGAATGAATACGACTTACATCTGTCCGCAGCGATACAATGGCCTCGCCACAGACTTGGGCAGGAATTCGCGGCCTAGACCATAACCACCCTCGGGGTCCGTACACCAGTTCTTCCAGCACGGCTCAAGCAGGTAAGAAGAGGCAAGAAAAGAATAGTCGCGAAAGACAGCCATGATGGTATATAGGTCTAGTTTGCCGGCGACAGTGACCAGCTTCTCGACCTCATCAGTCAAATCAGGAAGTTCCTTGTCCACAGCTGGACCTAGCTCATAGGTGGCTAACAGGCCTGGGGTGCCATCATGCCTGACGACAGGGAGGCGATCAAGCAAGGACATCAAAGGCTTGAAGGCATCGGGGAGGGTCGTAGGAGATGTAAGGTAAGGAAGAAACCCAGTAGACGTAGTCACAGTGAAGGGGTCCAGGGAATGGGGAAGGGTAGCAGGGTCATCATGAATATGAGGGAAGCTCTCCAAAGTGGCAGGCGAGGATGAGATGACCTTGGCGGGAGACATGGTAAAAGGAAATGAAAGGGAGACACAAGGAGACGGGGCGGTTGGATGTAATAAAGTATGCGTGCAGGTAGACTGATAGTAGAAATAGAGAACAACTCAGAGTAAAGACCGTTTGTGGCTTCTTCTCGGCTGAGGAAGGATGGCAGAGACAGGTTTCAGCAGGAAAGCAGCAGCTTCTTATAACCACCTGAGGCCGGTATCAATTCCGGCCTCTGAGGGGCCATTACGAAAGAGAAAGGACCATGCATGGAGACCAGATAAGCCGCTGTAAACTGACTCTAATCGTGTTCCCAGACGATATCGACGCATTCTGAGGCAATCCTGGCCCTCTCGCGCCTCCCCCTCTGCTTTGGTCGTCACTGCCATCTATACAAATGCTTGGCGTCGATAGGGCTGTATGCTGTCACGTGACATGCCATGTCCAGGCAGTTCTTCTCTAATCTCTCATACTCTGGCGTATAATAGCAAAGACAGTCCATTAGCGTCACGGACCATGCATGGAGGTCCATTTTAAAGCAATTCGAACGGTATGTTGGAGTCAACAATGCCCCGTGTCCCCATCAGAGATTGCCACAAGAGTTGTCATTGGAGTAGAGGCCGGAATTCTCCCGGCCTCCGATAATAGCCGGCCATCGCCAAGTTCTCGACACTCGGTACGGTGTACAGCGTGTGACCCGGACAAGCTCAAGCCCAAGGGTCGATTGTTCGGTCACATCCAATTAATTCACCGTAAAAGGCCCGATTGCTGAGAAGCTCGCTGCATACCATTCGACTAATAAGAACCGACATTATTCAGTCTGTGACCAGACATCGGGTCCATGCTTCACTAAGTAAAGATTTTTAGAGCTTTAGAAGTCAACAAAACACGGCATGGTTCGTCGTTTGCAGGCAATTCTATCGAGGCTTGCGCTTGCGCCATGTGGTGCTGCAGATCGCTGGTGCCAAAGGGTGCTGCACATCTTTCGCCGGCATATATGCATCAAACGAGCAGCGTTGGATTGGAGTATGTAGTCTAAGTCGTAAATAATGTACATATCGTAGCTATAATACAGGTTTGTCACTTATTGACTCCATTAGTATAGATCATTGCAGACGCACAAGGGCATAGACTCACCAGTAACGTTACCCCAGAGAGTGATTGTCATGACCCTGGATTCAAATTTGTCTGACCTCCACTCGGTGGCCCATCTGTGCTCGGAGAGACCTTTTGGAGCTTTAGGTATTCCTCCTCAAGCCTCCTCTGCATCTCGAACTCTGCCTTTCGCTCTTGTTGAATGCGTTGTTTCTCCATGTCTCGCTCGACTCCTTTGTGCATAGACTGTCAAGCGCGCATATTAGTTTCAATTGTCTATCAGATCAAAATAGAGCCCTAACGTACCATCTTTTCCTGTTCTTGCGACCAGTGGACAAACCAAACAATTCCCGCGGTCACTAAGCCCGTACCAGCAAATGTCAACTTGGAAGCTCGCGACATAATGCAGCGGGTGTAATAGCTCAGGCGCTATGAATCAGAATAGAGAATCTGCCGATAAACCGCGTGTAAATAGCAGCTGGAAAAAGGTGTTCCAGGTGGTTCGAGGCCATCGTGATGGCGGTGATCTGCGGCAGAATGATTGACCGCCTATGAGGGACCCGTATTGCGGAGAACCAGCTCGACGCCGCATCACGAGTTTCACTCCTCAGTGTTCAGTCCTTGGGTAATTCCCGTCATAATCCTCTTCATACCCTTGATTGGTATAACTCCGAGAGTTGTTCTGCGTCAATATGGTGGGTTTGAAAACGGGGCGATCTCTCGTTCATGCAATACTAACTCTCTCATAGTCCGCCCAGAACTCCGCAGGCATTCAGACCCTCCTCGATGTAAGATTTGTTGTGATATATCGCTCGGAACAGTTTAGACTAACTCGCTCTACTCAGGCCGAGAGAGAGGCCCAGAAGATCGTCCAGCAAGGTGCGTTATCTCGAATGGCCACTACTTCCAATATATGCTGACGTGTCGCATCATATAGCTAGAGAATGTACGAACCTATAACTCGACCCGATAACTATCCCCCTCATTAACCCTATTCTACAGACCGCACCAAGCGGATAAGGGACGCAAAGGCAGAGGCGCAGAAGGAGATCGAGGAGTACAGGAAGCAGAAGGAGGAGGAATTCAAGAAGTTCGAGGCCGAGGTAAAGCTTACCTTATCTCCGCTATCTATCGAGCGTGATATGATACAGTCGCCTTTTGATCCTGATGCGCTAACATTGGTCCACCACAATAGCACTCGAGTGGTTACAAGAAGGCCGAAGACGATGCCAGCAAGGAAGCCGAGGTGAAGCTAGAGGAGATCAAGAAGGCCGGTAAGGAGAAGGGCCCGAAGGTTGTCGAGAAGCTTATTCACGCGCTGGTTGACGTGAAGCCCGAGCCTTCTGCGAAGATCGTTACCAAGGCATAGAAAATAAGGTGTTAAGTGGTTCCGTCGGGCGATTATGAGCATAGTCCGTTTCTTTTTGCTGCTTTAGAGCCTATAACGTTATCATTTACAGTATTGACTTCGATGTATATCATGATGGTTTCTCCATGCATAATTCGATTCAGGGGCATTGTGAGAGCTCTCGGGACCCCGGATAATTGGCGTGGGACCTGGTCATATTCATAATACACATTCATCGTTTCCAAGCTGTCTTATTTCGAGCTTGGGACTAAGTTTGTTATGGAGGGTTCTGATATCGCGACATGTTCACATGCTTGGCATACAGTCATTTTTCTGCAGCCTCAGGGATCAGGCATAAATTGCGTCACTTCATTATCCGTGTTTTGATCGGCTTCAACATCCCGCGGACTTGGTGCTATATTCCTTTCCAGTCAGTCAAAAAATAATGATAACTTTTGCTGGCGGTGCTTTTGCAGCGCGAAGTCTGAAGACTACCAGCCGCTTTCCGTCAAATCGATATATTTGCCCAAGCTGCTCTATACGGCATTTCCGGTCGTCTCGGAGTAGACGCGCCTTCGCCGGCCCCGGTCTTGAGGATTTCGGCAAGATCATTAGGGACGAGTATGCTGTCATTCGAGACCACTATGGTCAGTACTACAGATATAAAACTACCATCATCCCTGCGACTTTGGTTGACTAGTGAACAGATACCCCAAAGCACCCCATAGTCCTCGCACATGGTTTGCTTGGATTTGCGGAGCTGCGGCTCGCTGGGCCTCTCCTTCCTGGTATACGGTACTGGCGCGGCATTAAGGAAGCCCTATCCATGAAAGGTGTTGAGGTTATGACCGCGACCGTGCCTCCGTCAGCATCGATTGAGATGCGGGCGGAAGTTCTAGCCGAGAACATTGCTTCGGCTGCGCGGGGGAGAGAAGTAAATATAGTAGCGTGCGTCTACCTAACCCTTTGACTATTCGTTTGTGGTCTAACATTGCACAGGCATAGCATGGTAGGCTACTTAAGATGCCTACAGAGAATGGTGAGATTGCTCACAAACGTCGGCAGGGGTGAGATAACCACGAAATGCATTAAGCCTCAACCACGTATTGATCAAGATAAAGCGGGCTTGACTCTCGATATATGATCACACATCTAAAGCCCAAGGATTTCAAGGTCTTGTCTTTGACGACTATTGCTACGCCACATAGGGGTGCGTAGACTTCTGCTCTTTTGACAGGTATGGCTGACAGCTAGCAGGTTCGGCGGTGGCAGATTATGTTCTTCAGCAGATAGGCAGTGAGTTCTTAGCGAGCTGGCCGTTGAGACACACTAACAGATCTTGTTCCAGATGACCGCTTGACCCAGCTGTATTACCTCCTCGAAAAGATCAGAATCGAGTCAGGGGCATTTTCTCAGCTCACACGCGAGTATATGGAGAAAACGTTCAACCCCACAACTCCAGATATTGACGATGTTCGGTACGTGTTCGTATGGGGATCCGCTTCCGTAAGGCTGATGTCGCAGGTACTATTCCTATGGAGCAGTGATGGAGCCAAGTTTTTGGTCAATCTTTCGCTTATCTCACCGGCTTCTGCAAGAGATTGAAGGGTACAATGATGGACTAGTCAGCGTAGCAAGCAGCAAATGGGGAGGAGAAGACGGTTACAAGGGGACTCTGATGGGCGTGAGCCACTTGGACCTCATCAATTGGAGTAATCGACTCAAGTGGCTTGCAGGCGAGATCACTGGTCAGAAGCCAAAGTATGTCCTGTTGACTGCCGGTCATGGTTCGCGGATAGATGGCTAATTTTAGTGTTGTCCAGCTTCAATGCTGTTGCTTTTTACCTGGACATTGCAGGTACGTGTCAAGTTATTTGCGTCATTATGCGTCTGCACGAACATACTAAGCCGAATCTCTTCCTCAGATATGCTTGCCAAGGAAGGTCTATGAAGGGGCTTGGGTAGAGATTTGTAAACATGGGCGTTGAAATCTTGGTGCCTAGGGAGCCCTACGGAGTTTTTCTCGGCTATGCACGTTTCCGGACTGGGACGGACCAGCGACATGCATCCCTTTTTCAATTCGCCCTTGTCTCACGATCCGCCAACAAGCAGTTCCCTGACAGGTGGACTGGACAAGCAAGGGTGATCAAGGGTGGCGGTGCACCCTGGAGTCAATGCTGTGGGCGCATCCAGAGTGGCTTAGCTCCGATTGCAGGTCGATGATTGGAGTCACAGGAAGGCAGCCAAATAGGAGATATATTGGCAATTGTTTAACAATATAATGATCGAACGACAGTCAAGCATAATCGAAATATTGACCTCGTTCCTTCTCGAGATTGTTGTTGTTCACACTTGTCGCCGACTGCCGAACCCGCCGAGATCTTAGTTCGTTGTGCCCCACGGCCGGCCCTTCAGCCTTAACGTCATTCCTTCTTCCGTATATTCTCTGTAGTTCGTCCCGAATTACAGTCGCTTTTTCTTTTCTCTTCTCTCCACGTACTCAGTTGGCCCGTAGTACATACTCTGGGATTTTTGAGAGACAATCGGCTTGTGTTGCGGGATTGTGGCGTGAACGAGATCGCTTTGAGTTTGGGCCATTCTCTGCTTCCCCGAGTAATCCGAATAACGCCATGTCGGTTGCCATCCACCTGGATCGGCCGCACAAACATCTCACGAACCTTGACTTTTTGACAGGAAAGGTCATTCTTACTCTTCAGACGGAGGCTTCAATAGCCGGTATTCAGGTCAAACTAGAGGCAGAGAGTCGCACGCGCTTAGCTGGGCCTAAATATCCACATAATGAGCACTCGGATAAGAAGCGCACGGAGCTTGAAGTCCACAAGGTATGTTCATCGCTATGTCTTACTAGGAGCGATATATATTGACTTCTCGGTCAGCTTCTGTATAAGGTGACGGACCTCTTCCCGGATCCAGCGTTAGTCAACACTCAGTCATCTCCTACCACTGCTTGGACATTGGCTCCAGGCAGATATGAATATCCGTTTCAGTTCAAGGTAAGCGAGCATCGCCTTTAGTTTGACTTTAAGACTAACTCTGTCAGTTTCCCTTCAACAACGCATGCAATCTACACAATAGCATGCTTACCAACCTCAATTTCTCTGGACTCAAGGTTGAGGTAGCCAAGCAGGCCGAGCGCCATGTGAAACGGACCCTTCCCCCCTCGCTGTCTGGCTTTCCGGGCATGGCTGAGGTCAAGTACTATGTGAAAGCCACCGTTGTTCGTCCGCAGTTCTACAAGGAGAACCTAAGAACAGTAAGTGGAGCAGCGTTGGGCGCTTCTTCGCCTGCCCCAATTCGTAATTATGCCCCTCCGGTCAGCTAATATTTGACTTCGTAGATAACCAACCTCACTTTCCTTCCCATTGAGCCACCACGGACGGGAAATCCGAAGGAAGAAGCGTATGCGAGACGGCAACACCAATTCGCGAACGGTCCGACACCGTCGCCCAAGAGACTATTTCACAAAAGCTCAAAGGGATCACTAAAAGATCTTGCAGCGGGATCTCTTCGTGTCGCTGCTGAGCTGCGCCTACCCAACCCATCTATCCTCACCTGCAATGAGCCCATCCCCATGCGTATACTGGTCAAAAAGTTGTCCGAATCATTCGAGACGGTCTTTCTGCAGATGCTACAGATCGAATTAATCTCCTATACTCATATTCAGGCGCATGATCTCAAACGAATGGAAACCGGCTCCTGGGTAGTCATGAGTCGAAGCAACATGGCAATGCCTCTTGGGAGGGGTGGTGACCCGGCGGGTACCGAATGGACGATTGATCCTAACTTGTGGAATCGCTTACCTCTGCCTCCTTCTGTTGCTCCGTCTTTTCAAACATGCAATATCTCAAGAAACTACGAGTTAGAGGTACGCGTCGGGCTTGCCCATGGCACCGTAGGGAACCTGAAAGTACGTGACCCTGGATGAAGATCTTCAATATCTCCGAGGAGTATAGCTAACCTTCAACAGTCACAATTGATTATTCTTCCATTGAGGGTGCCTGTTCGAGTGTACTCCGGAATCACCCCGCCACCAGCATTGTTAGAGGCAATGGCGGCGAATACGCAAGATAAGCCTAAGCGTCCTGTACACACGCCAAGCTGGCCGCAGGCACAGGGGACCGAACGACCTCCAATGCCCCCAAGGCCGACTGTGCCTCCGCCAGCTGTCAGTCCAGACGACTTCCATGACGATGCTCCTCCGAGTTACGAGGATGCGATGGCTGAAACCCTCAGTCCCTTGGAAGGCCCTCGCCGCGAGTATTACCCACCAGATGTCTCTTCTTCTAGATCTTCCGTTGAACCCGGAGCTGATGCAAGGTCACCAGTGGGTGATGGCCCTAAAACGTCCGGCGGAATCTATAGCAATCAAGGAGCGAACTCATCCTCGGAATCCTTTGATATGCTCCCTTCAACTCCACCAGAATCTCGGTCAGGATCACCTCTAGGGTCCCCTGTCGCCCGGCAGCAGAGCGTTCTCAAGATACACAAGTCCCCACTTCCAGTGGAAGACAGCCCTCCAAAATACCAACTGGTAGCTGAGAATCCACAACCAGCCCCGGCCCAGGAAACACCAAGACCGCCACGCCCAATGAACCTTGGAGTACCGAGCAGGAAACCAGTGCCTAGTCCGAGCCGAGCTAACCCGCAGCCGAAGCCGTGAACCCCCTACTGCTGATGGCTCTATCGCGCAGCTGAATTCGTCCAAAATGCATACATCAGGAGTTTGGGCTTCCTCGACATCTTTCATTCCTTCTACATATTCCGATACCAGTTTATGCTCTAGCCGGTCCACCATACATATAATAATTATTCCAAATATAGTCCTTGCTGTTCGAAATAGATCCTACAGTTCTACCATAAGAATGCTTCTGCGCTTCTCTGCCCTATCATTTTTGGGCAGCCCAGATGATTGTCCCAGCACCCGTCTCCGTAAGCTCCTTCCTGTAGGTGCTTGTACAACCCCAAATCACTGTTGGTTGGTTGGTTCGTGGCTGTAACTATTTGCTGCATGCATGTGACTCGGCCTTGACCAGGAGTCGATGTGGTTAACATTCTCTTGTATCTTGTTATGCTCACTGGCTCTGGGCCTCTAGACTGGAGAGAATATGAACTCTGAAAGGGATCTCATTGTCCAAGTCATCTTTCGATCGTTGTTTCACTTATCGATCGTACATCGGCACTGGTAGAATATATAGTCTACATTGCCTTAGAAGAGAAGCCACCATCAAATTCGTTGATCACTTTAGCAAGCTAACTTCACCAGACAGACCCAAAAAGAGACAGTACCTCAGCGACAAAGAAGAAAAAGCAATGTCATCCTCAAGAAAGAGCTCGAGAATACCTAGGATTGGAGGCGTATAGTTGCAGAGTGGGGACGGTCGGCCGATCAAAACAACGCGAGCGGTGAGAAAGATATCAAGAGCTGCGCTTTCCTAGCTTCAACCCTCAACCTTTCTCCTCCACATCTCACCACCATGCATACAGTTTCGAGTTCTTAGCGGGCCTCTTACGGGTTCGAATTCTGGCGTTCTTCTAGTTCCTTTACCCAAGCCCGCTCGCCGTGTATACATGCCGTGATCAACACCGATACCTAATAAAACCTCAATCGGAGCGCGCCTAGTCCTACCGCAGGTAGTGTTGTGTTCCTCGACAAGAACCGCCTTCTAGACCGGCACCATCTCCGCCGTAATAGAGACTGCAGAATATCCAACATTCCAAGCATGCGGCTCCACCTCACCATTCAGCGTCACGGCCTGCCCGTGACGCGCATTCTCTGGACGACGTCCCCGCCTTCGCTTTTCGGACACAATCACCCCAACCCGTCGTCGTTATTACCTGCTACTTCATCGGCCGTTACGTCGTCGCGTATGCCAAACGCGTTATACGCGAATGGAGGATATACTATCGCACAGCTGCTGGAGGACGTGAACGAGGTTATACCGCTAGAGACAGAACCCCGACTTTTCGAAGATGAATCAAGCGGGCAGTGGGGCTTGGAAGATTATGCAGTTGAAGTTGGAGGGTCGGAATGCTTGCATTTCATGGAGATAGAGGGTATCCTTAGGGACGGTGATGAGGTCCTCATACGTGCCCTGCAGGTGTCCGACCTCAAGGTCAGGCAGATCTCGGGCCGGCACCAGATATCCGCTGATGGCAGACACCTCATTGATGGGGTCCCGTTTGGGAAACCGTTCTTGAAGAGACCGACGTCGTCGAGACCTGCCATCACGATTCCGCCGAGGAAGAAGAGACGCACTGCTCTTGCGCTCTGGGGGACTGGCAATGCTTATGAGGAGGAGGATTCGGAATGGGCTCCTCCTGTTCCTCGGCATGGTACTGGCAAGGAGCTTTCCCTTCTGAATCCGGAGAGTGAGGCCGAGAAGATGGATGAGGATGTCGACGAATATGAGGACGCTTACCAAGATGACTATGAAGATTATCATGAGCCGAATGAAGACGGTGAAGGTACTGTCATTCGGCATCACGTCGATAAAACGAGCGAAGGCACAGAAAGTGATAATGTTTCCGGTTCTGAATCTGGAGATCTCAGTCAAGAACTACAAGATCTCAAGAAAGATATTGAGCTTTCAGGACTGTTGCCAGAGTTGGAGGAGCCTGACGCGAGTCGTCGCGGCGATTCTGCGCGTCCGAGACCGAGCATTCCCCAACCAGCTCTCAGAAAGAGTTCTCTTTCGCGTCGGTCTACTGGAGACACCTTTGATGGAGAAGCCTCCCGAAGAGAGTCCAAGAGCGTCAGTTTTGGCAAACAGAAACAGGAATTACCGACAACCAAGCTTGCGACTTCGGTACCTAGGGCTGGTTCAATCTCGGAGGAAGCCGAGGACTCTGTCTCGAACGAAAGTGATAGCGATAGCGATAGCGATAGCTCTCCTAGTGGGTTCGAAGCCTCTGATTCTAGTGACGAGGAGTCCTCATCGGATGAGTCTGAATCTGAGTCTGCATCCGAGCCCGAAATTGCATCCGCGGCTGCCCCTGAATCATCCTCTGGATCAGAAAGTGATTCCTCGTCAGAACGCTCTGCATCAGAATCAGAACGATCAGAAGCCGAGCAAAAAGAGGTTTCCAAAGCCAGTCATGCCGTGAAGCCTGTTCACGAAGCCAACCCACCTGGGGCTGGCTCGGAGAGGACAAGGAAGTGTAATCGACGCGCTAAAATGCGGCGACGACTCACAAAGTTGAAGCAGATGGGCTTCCTCGAAGAAAATGCGGATTTTGATGCCCTCCGAGAGTGGGACTCAAAGAACACGGACTCCAGCATTTCTAACACGGGTCCTAATCGAATAAATCGAAAAACACAAGAACAGGAAGTATTCGAGGCGAAACGTCGAAAGTTGCTTCGTGATTTAGAGTCCGGAGGAGTCGATGTCTCGTTTGTGTCTGAGAAGGAGAATTTGACCCCGAGATCAGTTGGCGATGATACGTCGGAGTTGCCTGAAGATCACGATGAGACATATGAGACTGCCAACGACACAACTCCAGCCAATGCTGAACTTACAAAGCGTCGCTCTCTGGATGTGGCCAGCACCCGACGGCTTCTTTTCGGCTCCCTCGGTGTGAGAAACCCGCGCTCTAAGGAGGAGGAGGAGGCCACTCGAAAGAAACTGGCTGGCAAAGCTCGACCAAGTACAGTTCAGCAAACAAAGTCCGAAGCAAACGAGCAGGCATCCACCGAGGACCGCGAAGATGAATCTGAAGTGAATTGGCGTGAGAAACTGACAGTTGGCGCAACAGAATGTGTCTTCGATGATATTGAGCTGAGTGCACCACCTTTCCCATTTGAACAACATTGGGACACCGAAGCTGGGGATGAAATGCGGCGACGAAGAGGCCGGAACAAGAAAAGAAAGAGGAGGCAACAACTCCAGGTTTACGACGAGGAAGCGTATGGTAATGAGGTTGACTACTATGGGGACGATGACCAGCAACTCAACTACGACGACGCGGAGCAACCAGGAGATGAAGCCGAGAACAAGGATTTGACAAGAACCAGGACGGCTGCAGACACCGAGGATGATCTCCCTGACCTCCCAGAGGATGCGAGTGGTCTGCCGGGTCTCACGACAAGTGAACTAAAACCAGGTCTTGTTTTCGCCTTCAAGCAGCTGGATGTGTCGAAGGCTACGAACTGGCAGCCTATGGTGTTGGATTACCGCATTGCCGTAATTAGCGAGGTCTTCGACGATAACATTCTCAAAATTCAACTCGCCAAGCCGTATAGGAGACAACCCAAAGATGCGTACGCTGAAGGGGGGCCATTCAGCTACAGCGGATTTGAAATGCCCGGCATGGAGGATGACGAGGAATTGGACTATGGTATTCGCGAAGTTCCATTTGACGATCTGCTTGAGCCCAAGGTGCTCCGCGCTGCGCCTGCTGCAGATGCTGGAGAGAAAGATACCGCCAGCATGTCAGTGAATTAACTTCCCTTTGTAATTATTCGATCGTTTGGCGCTTACCCGTCCAAGCTTTCCTGCAGACGACGAGCAACCTGCGCAAGAGCCTAGCCAATCTGTGATCGATGAGCCAGCAGCAAGCGATGGGCACGACGACCAGCTTGTAGAAGTATCTAGCCAACGAGCTCTATCTTCTAATGAAAAACAAGTTTCAACTCCCGATCCCGCGCTCCAAGAAGGCAGTCTCGTTCAATCACCTCGATTTGAAGGATTCGAAGATTCAGCTATGATGACTATCGAAAGCGACCCGGTGGATTTGAGCTACATTCGTGACGAAATCCAGGGGAATTCTCCTAAAGGTGACGATTCGCAATCTCAGCTTCAGTCTACTTGCCCTCCCAACGTCGACAGTCACGACCTCCAAGAAACGGGTACGACGGATCAACTGCAGACCATCAGCAGCCCTGTTAGTATAGGGTCATATCACAAGTTGATGAACTTTTTCCTGCATCCATCTCCAAAACGCGAGGAGAAGGGAAGTCCTGTCGAACCACGCTCAGAGCCTGGATCTCCCATGGTTCCCAACCCATTCTACGAAATCGACAAAGCCCGCGAGGAACGTCGGCAACGCTCTCTTCCCAAAACACAGCGAGATCGGTCCTATGATAGCGCTTCCGGCAGGAGCAGCAGGCAGTCCTCAAAACCTGCAGAGGTGGACGATCTCTCATCATCACCTCCAAAACGTGCTCGAAAACGCAAGGCGCCCTCGCCCGTGCAAGATCGGGGGAAAGAGCGGGGGAAAGAGCGGGAGACTTCACCGGTCAGCATAATCCCGGACAGTGTCCAAGGGGCAACACGAGACCAAACTCCTCCATCTTCGCAGATGCCCGCTTCGCAAATGCCAGATCCAGAATTTATTGTGGACTTGACACAATCTAGCCCTCCAGTGTCGCCTGGTGGCAGCGACGAGGATTTTGCAAAAACGCACCGGCTTCCCCGGGGGTCTGGATGGGTTCAAAAGAATAACCAGGCGACGCGCAGGCAGACTAGACAGTCTTCGGCGTCGAGCCGGGTGATCCGGACGTTGGACACAGGAAGCATCAGCCCACCGCGACGGAGGCGGGGACGGCGGTCTAGATCTTGATGCCATGTATCACTAATATACCACTATACTATGTATGTCATGTCGAGCTTTTGATGTCAAAATATCCTGTTTCTATCAATTGACGTTTGAGCTGGAGATGGTAGGTAAACAGTTGCCGCTGATTGGCGGAGAAGTCGGAGCTTCGATTGAGGTCTCCACACAACAATCTCTATGGCGTCATGGGATCTGGAGTCCCGAACACAGCAGCTCACCAGGTCCTGCTGAGCATGACGCAGTGAAGACAGCATAGCATGGATTGAAGGGACTCAAAGAACGGAGATATCGCTGCTGGTCGATTCGTTGCTCCCGTCAATAAATGCCTTGCTCCTCATCCCAGCTGCTGTCGTGACCGCTCCCTTGTCCACGTACAACCCCGTTGCATCCCCAAGCTCCCTCTATGCAGGTGCCCCTCTTCTCGCCCTCGCGCCAGAAACTCATCCGTTGGCCTTGTCCTCGCCAGTCAGCGCTGCTGTCGACTGTCCCCATCTCTCGCTCATCCCCAGTCCTACGCTGCCGGTGTGGTTGTCGTAATTCGTCCTCCTGTTCCTGCTCGTGCTGTGTCCATCCATTGCCCCAGACACAAGCTCGAAGTACTCAGTTGTCGCCTCGTTTGTCGGTAGCTTGCCAATCGACCAACCAATCTAGACCATTTTCCTCCACAAGCTCTTCTTTCCTATCTCAGACTCTAGCAACCATGGCCCAGGAATACAAGCTAAAAGACATCTCATCCTTGACGGGTATTAGCAACTTCGACAAGGTCGAGGCTGAGGTCGAGGGCGTGCAGGACGGCAAGGTGTTGCTCGTGAAATACGATGACCAGGTTCATGCTATCAGCCCTAAGTGTACCCACTACGGGGCTCCGTTGAAGAACGGAGTTGTTTCTCCAGAGGGCAGGATTACTTGTCCATGGCACGGGGGTAAGCAGTTTCCCCAATCGCAGTAGATACGAGTTGCTGATTGTTTCCTCTATAGCCTGCTTTGATGTTAAGAGCGGAGATATCGAAGATGCTCCTGCCCCCGCGGCGTTGAACACATTCGAATTGTTGGAGAAGGACGGCGCCGTTTACATCCGTGGTGAAGAGTCTGCTATCAAGTCTGGTCAGCGAATCTCAGAGCACAAGTGCAGTGCTTCCGGCCCTGGCGGCTTGGTCATTGTAGGAGGGTAAGTTTTATCACGCTTGTATATGGAGTCATGGCTCATTCGTCACGCAGAGGCTCCGGTACCCTCGGTGTGATCCTGGCCATCCGAGAGCTCGGATACAAGGGAGCTATTACCATCATCACCCGCGAGCCCAGTCTCATCATCGACCGCACCAAGCTCTCCAAAGCTCTCATTCCAGACCCAGAGAAGATCCAATGGCGCTCCCCCGACTGGTACAAGGAAGTCGGCATTGAAACCGTCTCCGACGATGTCACCTCCGTCGACTTCAGCCAGAAGACCGTCATCACCAAATCTGGCAAGACATTCCCCTACACCAAGCTCGTTCTAGCCACCGGCGGAGTCCCCCGCACACTGCCTCTGGAAGGCTTCCAGCTCCTCGAGAATATATTCAAGCTCCGTACAGTAACAGACGTGCAGCAGATCCTCAACGCTATCGGCGAGGAGAAGAAAAAAAAGGTCGTCATCATCGGCAGCTCCTTCATCGGTATGGAGGTCGGCAACGCCCTATCAAAGGAAAACGAGGTCACAATCGTTGGCCAGGAATCAGCGCCCATGGAGCGCGTCATGGGCACCGAAGTCGGCCGTATCTTCCAGAAGAACCTCGAGAAGGCTGGCGTGAACTTCAAGCTCTCGGCTGGCGTCGCGAAGGCTACACCTTCCAACGAGGAGGCCCGCAAGGTCGGCGCCGTCCACCTCCAAGACGGCACCATTCTCCCCGCCGACGTCGTCATCCTCGGCGTCGGCGTCCGCCCCGCTACTGATTTCCTGCAGGGTAACCCGGCCCTCACACTGGAGAAAGACGGTTCCCTCAAGGTCGACGAGCACTTCTCCGTTCCCGGTCTGAACAACGACGTCTTCGCCATCGGCGACATCGCAACATACCCCTATCACGGGCCCGGCGCGGATCCCGAAAAGGGCACATACACACGCATCGAGCACTGGAACGTCGCGCAGAACGCCGGTCGGAGCGTCGCGTCCTCGATCGTGCACACGCTCAACAACACGTCGTCCCTGCAAAAGACCAAGCCCAAGGTCTTCATCCCCATCTTCTGGTCTGCGCTGGGCTCGCAGCTGCGATACTGCGGGAACACGCCGAATGGGTGGGATGACCTCGTGCTGAAGGGCGAGCCGGATAATGCTAAGTTTGCGGCGTTCTATACGAAGGGGGATACTGTTGTTGCGGTTGCAACGATGGGCATGGATCCGGTTATGGTGAAGTGTGCGGAGTTGATGCGGAGGATTAAGATGCCCTCCAAGAAGGAGATTCAGGATGGAGTCGATGTTTTGACGATTGATGTGCCCAAGGGCGTGAGGATTTAAAGCTCCGCCGAAATTCTTTACTGTATCAATTAATGAATATGAAGATTATGATAAGAAACGGTTGTTTCTCAATGATCCGGATTGGACAAGCTCTATGTACCATGAACGGAAGCTGTACAGAAAAAGCAGATTTTGAGCCGTAAACGCCGAGCATTATGAACATGATAAATACATACAGTACCTAGCAGACAGGGCATCATCCACCACCGACGTACCCGCCCACTACACTCGTCCCGTCTATTTCTTACTCTTCTTCGGCTTCTTACTCGGAGACTCCAACTCCACGTTCTCCACTTGCGGAACGATAATGCCGCCCGACGACATGGGCACCGTCATCTTGCGTAAGCTCGAAGGAACAGCCGCAATGATGCCGTTCCTCTCGTCCTCAATGACCTTGGCCTCTTCCTCCTCAGACAGCATCGTCCCTTCTATGCTCAGGAAGCCGCGGTCCCGCTCTGTCCCTGGGATGACGTCGATATCGACGACGCGAAACTTGACTGTCCCGCGCACGCGGTGGCCGGATACGGACTGGAAGTGGCCTTCCAGTGAGTCTTCGTCGGTACCTACTGCACCCTCTCCATTTTCAGTCTGGTCGGCGCCAATGTCGGCCTCTGGGTTTTGCTCTTGGTCGAAGGAGAACGGGTTCGAGTCTGAGGCGAGAGGGACGGGGTTGAAGTGTTCCTTTTCCGGGTCAAAAGGCGTAGAGGATGTGCCGTCTTCGTCTTCGTCGGAATTAGGGTTCGGCGCGGTCCCGTTCTCGTTATAGTCCTTCTCCCCTGGAGGGATCCATTTCCAGGATGGGGGCAGGCGCTTGCGCTCAATGCCCACGGAGAAGAGGTTCAGCACGACGGCACCGAGGAAGCCCTCTGACTGAACATTGACCCAGCCCTCGAGGGTCTGACCGCGCTGCGGACGGAAGACGAGGAATGTCGCTGTGAGGTGGACATACATGACGCCGTATTCGCCGGCTGTGGCGGCTAGGGTCAGTGGTTGCGGGTTTGGTGAGGTTGAGGAGGGGGAGGGGGACGAGGGCGGTTCGCTTGATATCGACGCATTGGAGTAGGCGAGAATAATGCCCTGGAAAGGCGGGAAGAAGGTTAGAAGAAGAGGGGAGAGGTGCTCTGCTAGGAGCGAGGCGAGGGCGTGCGTAGGTGAGATCGAAATCGGCGAGAGAGGCAGATAGAGCGTTGCCGTGGTGAGAGAGTATGGAGAGTCGGGTATGGGAGCGGGCGTGGTGGCTGTTTTGGCGTCGGACTTGCTGCTCTTGTCCTTCTTGCTGCTGCTGCTCTTTGAGGATTTCTCCTTCTTCTTTTTGTCCTTCTTGTCGGCCTTGTCTGTTTTTTCGTGCTTGCGCTTCTTCTTAGACGACGGCGATGAGGGCTCGTCTTTGTGCTTGTGTTTGCGCTTGCGCTCCTTTTCGGACTCCGCCTGCACCGCGGAGACAGGAGTCGAGTCAATATCCATTGCGTCAACGGCCATTGCTACCGCGGAACAGCTGTAATGCGCTGGTCGGACTGGTTGCCTGCGAGAGAAGCTTTTTTCTCTACTTTTTTTTGATTATCCGGCGCGGAGTATTTTGCGGCAGGCGGTGAAAAAGGCGGTTTATTTCAGAGGCCGCGGCATCTCAACGGAGTAGTATATCGCCAGGTTGTTCAAAGATAATTGGCCCCTGAATGTTTTTTTAAGCCGTGCTGAGCATCAGGACTATTGACAGCGACTGCCGTGAAGTCATCATGTCCATTCTGTCTCTGATCGGTTGGTATACTCTTCCAAAGGTGAGATGGCCATTACCCGCCGCGTTTTCCGATGGTTCCTGGCGTCTCCGCAACGTCGAAACTGAACATGGATTTACAGTATGCAACCAACACTGTCCTGTATGTCTACTATGGAATCACTATCCGCGCGGGAGATCCGAAGCCACAACCGGGGTCGCCTCGGTATGCGCGCGACCGCCGTCGCATCTTTATTGCTATTGTGACCACCTACCTGCTCTATAACCTCTTCGAAGCGTACGAGAAGATCCAGACCGAAGGCAGTTTCTATGATGTTCTGGGTGTATCGCCGCTATCAGATGAAAGGGCCATCAAGGCGCGATTTCGCCGTCTAGCTGCGCAGCATCACCCTGACAAGCTAGGGGCTGGCAGCTCGAGCGACCTCTTCGTGTACCTGAAGCAAGCGCAGGATACGCTCACCAACCCGGTCAAACGGTATGCATATGATATGTGGGGGCCTAAGATCCTGCAATGGAGGAATATCGATACGGCGCATGGGTATTTCCTGTCTGGATTGATGAAGACGGTGCCCACTTATTTGATGTCGTTTTTGGGGCTCCTGCTTTTGAATTATACTTGGTGGTCTGATTGGGGTCGCTATGTGGGTTGACGTGAAAGCTTGACCTGATTTGGTGTTTTGCTGACCGACGTATAGTGGCGCTTTTTTGCATTTGGCGCACTGTTCACACTGAATCTGGCTTTGATCAGTCATCAGGGCCCCGTTTCCATTACCTCGACCTTCTCACTGCTTCCGTGGCAGATAATGAAGATGGCCGAGACTATATCGCTCAGCCTGCATATCTTCATATCACAGATTGCTCCTCCTGAAGCAAAAGACGCCGGATCGCCGGATCGTCTTCATCCGCAGACCCTCCAGCGTCTGGGACAGCTCCTACACCTCAGCCGAGCCACGGATACTGAAGCGACGCGACTTCTACAATTGGGATTTGCGCCGTTCCAAGGTGACAGGGAAAGCATTGCTACACTGAGGAAGGGTATGAAGGAGGGCCTGGTCCTGAGCAGCGTACGGGGCAGCCATGGGGTACAGCAAGCTGTGAAGCAAATAGCAGAGCGCAAGGAGCAAGGAAAGAAGGTCGGTTGAACTTCATACTTCAACTGAGTAAATAGTCCATAGATCAAATGTAATATCTTGTACATCAAGTATACATGATTTAGGAAATATCTCCTGTCGAGCAAGGAAGGAAAGGAAAACTCGAGGAACAGAGGTTTCGCCAGGTTGCTGGAACCTGTCTTCAACTGTACCTCAGCTAGGCTTGAAAACTGGCGCTATTGGAATATTGAGCATGATTGTACTCCAAAGCCGAGGAACTTCATTATTTGTATACCCTCAGTTTTGTTGAAACCCACTGGGATGAAACCCAGTGGTTTTGCTAAACACGGCGAGGTGATCGGAAGAAATTGGTGGTTCGTCGGCGGTTTCGACCATGTCCCCCAGTCTAGTGCGAGGAACTCCTGCTGATAGCCAAATTGCCGGCGGTCATGTTCTCATCCTCGGACTCTTTATTAGTTCCGAGCTCGGGAGGCGAATAGTCTGATCGATGACCCCATCAGGGGTCACACTGAACTTTGACCAGCCACATGATGGGATGAGTGTGATCTATCCAACGGATGAGGATACGACATGAAGCATCTACCGATTAGACGGCAGCTGAATTCCCCTGCCAGCTATCCGTAGACACGGAGTAATGCTGACGCTGGTGGAGAGATTTCAATTTGATCAAACCAAACCTGGTCGCGGCGGGCCTGGGACTGGGCGATCCATAGCTGGTGATAGGATCTTAGCAGTGCTCAAATGCCTAGGAAATGGCAGGATTACTGCACAGACTATCGCGGTAACGCGTCCTGGTCAGGGTATTCCCCTCAGCCCGGATGACGCGGATACCTCAAACCCATCAAGCAGAATTGGGAAGGAAGATTAAAGGAGATTAAATATCTGCCTGCCAGGTTGAGAGCTCTATACAGAGTAAATAACAGTCTTTGACAATAAAAGAGGTGCACAGCACGCCTTGGCGGGCGCTCCTTTGGTGGTGTAATATACGTTACGCCGATACATCTCCGTAGCGAGATTCGGGCGTCCTCCTCCTGTTTCTCTCTTGACCGCAGTGGAAAGTTTGGACGAGACTGAGAGGAACACACACAAAGTCGCGCCCAACAATAATGGAACCTCAGTGTTCGACATCCGCATCCCTTTCATCATCCCCTTCCTCCTCCTTCTCTCTCTCTTCCTTCCCCCCTTCCATGCCACCACCCCATTCTCATCATCACCTTCGCATCGTCACTTCACCAACCGGCATATGTCACCTTTCTAGAATTGCCTCACGTTTACCTTGACAAGGCTTTCCCAACTTTCACCTCGCCTGACTATACCTCCACGCAACGCTTGACATCTAAAGGGGGCCCCAAACCCGGCTTAGTCCCATCAGGACACCACAGTCAACGGCATAATTTATCGTCGCATCTAAATCGGACACGGCCACTTCGCTGTCCCAAACACTCATCCGGTCGCTCATCTTTTTACCTCTTTGTCTAATCTCCAGATCGCCCGACCGGAGGATTGAACCGAAGGGAGGAAAAAGAAACTATAGAACCCACGAACACGACCTACAGCAGCCGTTCTTCATCACCACCGTCGGACGAAACCATGCCGGCTGCTACCTCGACCTCCCGCGCCAACGGTCGCTCAAATAGCTTTGGCAACGCCAAGTTGCTTGTTGTACTCAAGCTGTCTTCTAGTCTTTTGAAGAAATTTGCACCTGTCCCAGAGAGCAAGGACAAGAGACGGAAGAGCAGCGGCGGTGCCGCCAGCAACAAGAGGGGCGAGTCGCATGCCGACTCCCCTACCAAAAAGGAAGAAGCGCCTTCATCTCCGGCGTCATCCGCCATTGAGCCACCTCCCGCCTCCTCGGTGGACAATGCCTCCGACGCCGCTTCAACACCCGTACCCGGCACCTCTGCGGATGCTAATCGAAAGAGCCTTTCTGGCCCCAAGACTGGTGCTAAAAGGGGGCTCAACGCAACTTCAGACAACTCTCTCAAGCCGAGAGGGAAACCCGGCCCTAAGAAGAGACCTAGGCTGTATGTGTCCTTTGATTGTCTCTTTCACTCAATAATTGAAGCTGACATTTCTGTTATAGTGAGGATGGTACTACGGAAAACGTGAGACTGAGCACTCACCGGCTGGGTCCTAAAGCCAACACTGGAGCGATTAATGCCGGCCTTCGCGCTCTTGACCGAAGCGGAACCCCATGTCGCAAGTGGGAACGCAAGCCTTTGCAGTTAAAAAGCTTCACTGGTGTACAATGGGCGCTTCCATCCTGGCGGGCCCCTCGCACACAGAAGCAGGAAGCAAACGGAGAGACGAAGGAAGGTGTCCTTGAAACTGGAGACAGCGACAGCAGGGCCAACCAAAGTGCAAGCGGTGTCCCCAGTGAAAAGAGCAACTCTGGTGATGGCGATCTCACACCTGCTCATCCCAGTATGGTCGGGCCATCCTCTCCTGCTGTCGCCATGGCTGCATAGGCCCTTTTCAGTTATGAACGTTTATCCTTCTTTTCTTTGTATAATACCTTTTGACATTATTTTGTTTTATTTCTTTGGTCAGCCCTAGGAGCGGATTTTGTTCACTTGCTATTGGCGTTGGTTCGGTTATCGGGTTGGTCACGCGAGCTACTTATGTTTCTCCTAGCAGGCTATTCATCTCCCAAGATTGCCTGAGATTTCATGGCATTTCTTTGCCTGGTGTGCGCGCCTGGCTCTGTTCGGCTTCTATTTCATGTCTTTCTATTGTGTACCATCAGGCTTAGGGTTAGAACGGTTTTCTCAAGTGGATGGAGTTTCGACAAAAAAAACAACTATGCTGTGTTCACTTCTGTATCAGATCCTATTGCCGACATTTTATCTATTATATGTTTTCAACTTTCTACGATAACACAGTCCTGATGACTGGAACACGTTTTTATGAACTAATAAGGCTGGCATCAAAGTTTCAGCCTAACTGATGAACCGTAGACGAAAGTGATGACCTATTCCAAGTCTCAATCCATGATGACGAAGATATGCACGGTCATCTGCCATACCGGTTGGGTCACCGAGGCTCCTACGGGATAGAGTCGAGACGAGCAGGTGGAGGGAATTCTCCCACTTGATCCATACTTCAAGTCGAAATATAATCTCTATCCTTCATAAACAAAGGTAACCTGTGTTCGTACATCGCTTGAGTGCTGAAGCTCGGACTCTTTTCGAGAGAGGAGTATAAGAGCGGCGCCTCGAGTCGTGGCTAGATTTTATATCGGACGCTGATACGGGAGACATTACCGAAGTACTGGGTGCTCTGCTCGTTGTATTATTAGCATAATGGAGGATTAGGAAGTAGCAAGAGGTCAATGTATTGATAGGACTGTCTGATAATCTCCGGTACTCCTGGTTGTTCCCCCTCAGCCGGCTGCCGTCAAGGGCCTTTGACCCTCCCCCGCAGTTTGGTCATGCCATCAACAACCAACCTTGCCCTGCCCCGAGCCTTTCTTTTTCGTCTCATTTTACTTCGGGCACGGTTTGTTTCGGAGTAGCTGGCCATATCCCCTTCGTCACGAGAGTTTTCTCCGTCTCTCTCTTGTTACACGTTAGTGATGTTTATTTTCATCAGGAACCAATTCAAGAACTGCCGCAGGCTTCTCTTGGGTTGAGCAGCGATCTCTTTCTTTGTCTTGCTCGTCTTCGAAAGAATTCTTGTTATCGAGTCATCGTCGCCATTTGGTTCCCTCCAGGTAGTTTTTGCTTGGGGTTCGCAACGGTGATCGTGACAGCCTACTTTGACTCCACCTCCCCACCCCCAATTACGGATAGATTCGAGCCGGAGAACAAGATACTCACGCGGACAGCAGTTTGCAATAAAGAACGGACAAAAAGAGAGAAGCTGCAAGACGAGAGGGGGTGAATTTCATGACCGCTTACTATAAGCTGACTGGGGGTTTCGCACCGGTCGAGGTCTTGATAACAGGGCGCCGCGTGAGGAGGCATCATACATCCATAGTACCCGCCTTGGGCCTGATCCTCCACTGAACGTCAACAGCCATGACTGATACACCTTTTTCCCCTTCCGGTGGAGCTCCTCGAGCTCCTCTCACCAACACCTATCCAGCACCGAGTATATCTTCTATTCCTCGTCGCTCTTCCTACGCATCTGTGCTTTCAGGAACTGCCGCTCTATCGCCACAGACTAGCACTCCATTCTCGCAGTTGAACTCCACTTCATCCTATCCCCCGCCGTTCCACTCTGACGGCCGCGCATCGAGGCACTCGGCCGCCGTGGATGCAGAGATGCAGATGAACTCCTCCTGGATGTTACCCCAACAGGACTCGCTTCCTCCATACTCGCGGAAGTTCGCGAGCTTCCCGGCTTACGACCCTTTCTTCCAGAACCTCGGCACTTTCTCCGAGCCCTCGTGCTCCTCCTTCACGCCCTCTTATCTTCGCAACTCCCGGTACATATCCCGCCTCGATGCTGCTCGTCGCACCAAGTCAGCGTCCCAAAGAGATGCAGCTTCGGTTTCGTCCGTCCAGGGCAACTTGCCCCGGATCGCGCCTTCTTATCGAGGGATGACGTATGATATCATCGACAGGGAGCCCGTTGGTGACGACGACGACCATATCACGCCGCTACCATCCCGCTGGAGTGACTCGGATAAATACCCTGGACTGGAGCTTCCAAATGATGGTTTAGAAATTCGGTACACTGGGCCGCTTGACAAGCAGAGTCATGTAGCCGCCTCTGTGCGGGCGGATCACCCCATGCCGCCGCAATGCGGGATCTACTATTTTGAGATTACAATACATTCCAAACCCAAAGAAGGGTGTGTCTTATCATCGGATACTCATGATCATTTATGCTAATGAAGACCAGGGTGATTGGAATAGGGTTCTCGAATCCCAAAGCATCCGTCGAGCGGCTTCCAGGCTGGGAGCAGGAATCGTGGGCATACCATGGCGATGATGGCAAAACATTCTTTGGTGAGAATCAAACGGCAGGGCGACAATATGGTCCGGTGTTCGGAGTCAATGATACTGTGGGATGCGGGGTAAACTTTTCGACTGGGTGTGCTTTTTTTACGAAGAATGGGCACTTCCTAGGTATACCTTGAATTTGTCTGAAACAAGGACAAAGATGCTGATAATAGCCAGGAAACGCGTTCAAAGAACTGCGGAACTTGAAAGTCTATCCGTCTGTTGGGGTGAGGAAGAACCCCTCAATACATATATCCGCAAATTTCGGCCAACAGCCATTTATGTTTGATATTGATGGAATGGTCAAGGTGGGTTGCAGACTGAGCCCGATTTCAAGACCTCGACTGAGTTGCTAACCGACCGACAGAGCCAGAAGGAAACTATACATTCTGACATTAGCAAAACAAGCATTGCCAGCATACAACCGCCGCTGGACGATACGGCCTTTTTGCAGGAATTAGTTGCGCAATTCTTAGCCCATGATGGCTATGTAGAAACTGCCCGAGCATTCGCAGAGGAAGTTGCCGCCGAGTCGGCCGCGCTAGAGAATGGCCGCCAGGCCCAGCTCAAGAAGTACGAGGTGGAGGAGGACATCGAAGCGATCAACCGGCAGAGTATGATACAGCGATGTGGCATTAGAGTCTTGACGCCTTACTGACTTTGCCAGAAATTCGAGCCGCTATTCTCGAGGGGGACATCGATAGAGCCCTCAAGTACACCAACGCCTATTATGCCAATGTGCTGCAACAGTACCCTCACATACACTTCAAACTACGATGTCGAAAGTTCCTAGAGATGATGCGGCGGTGCACTGAGCTATCATCGTCTGCGAAAAAAGGAAAGGCTACTAATGGATTCTCCGATACGGCCGTATTCGACGAAGAGATGGAGCTAGATGACCAGATGCAAGACCAAAATGGTTGGGAAGCTGATGGAATGGACATGGAAGAGACTGAGACTGCCACCAAGTCGAACGAGCTTCTGACAGGGGCGGTGCAGTATGGGCAGCAGCTACGTATGGACTATCCGAACGACGAGAACGGAGGTGACAAGAAGATGCTGGACGACATCTTTTCATTGGTGGCTTATCCAGACCCTAAACGGTCGGTGCATGGCCATTACCTGGATCCGGCTGGGCGCATCGCCGTAGCAGAAGAGCTGAACTCGGCGATTTTAGGTACCGCCCACATCTTCCCCCTCGCGAGTTATACAGGCTAATGTCTACAGTATCACTTGGCAAGTCGTCATCAGCCGCTCTGGAGCGGCTTTACCAGCAAACTGAGGTATTGGTCAATGAGATTAGTGAAGAAGGAGGCGCTGGGGCGTTTATTAATGTACGCAATGACTTTCTCCAATAGGCTTCTGGTTTTCGTGGTTTGTCGGCGCGCTGGGTCGGTTCGAGTATAAAGCACTTGCAGACTGGCATCTGAGACTGGTATCCTTTTCCATATTACTATTCCCTAATCTCCTTCATTTCTTTTTCGGCACCAATTTTCCCAGGTGTTGGTGTTGTACTCTGTACAAACTACAAAGCTCAGGAATATAGGCGCACATAGTAATATGGCCAATCAAAGTGCATCGCTGATGCCGCGGCTCGTGAATCGTGACGCTCGCCCAAAATACCTAGTGACACCTACACATCGCTGGATGAAGGAAATGGGACTAGGCACTGCCTCTAGATGTGTCCCGTCCACGGTACAACTTACGGATCATTTCTTCTCAATTCATTATATGCCTCCAGTGTACGGAGGAGTTATTTACAGCCGCCATGCTTGGTGTAGTTGAATCTCACGTGCGTATTATTGGTAAATACCAGGCGGGTACAGGTGAAGAACAGCAGTTCGTCTCTCCGCCTTCTGGATCTATTTCTGCGTCTTAATCGATGATTTGGCTCCGTTGAGGTCATTTTGTGCCTCTGCCGATACGATACTATTTACTATTTGCGTATAGTTATGGCTGAAGAGGAGGGAGTAATCGCGATCATCGGCCCGGTTCTACCTGGATCGTCTCATTCACTCCGTCTTCCCCTCTTCTCTTCTCTCCTCCTTCAACCACTTCATCTTCCAGCCACCTTATCCGATGACTTGGTAGACTGTGACTCTACCTTACCGGTTCATCGCTCCACCTGGGGCGGTGCCACTGCCAGCTCATAGCTCCTGCATTCTTACTTTCTTCCTGGTCTGCCTGCATCGGTAGCAGGTAGACAACTCCAACAACCATGGAATCCAAGCCTGCTGCGAGCCAGCCAGAGGGCCACATTCCTACCCACTCCTCCGCAACCAGTCGGGCAGATCTCCACTGCTGCTGTGGCCGGAAGGAGTGCGCTTTTCTACAGCATAACCAAGATGCTCTGGCAGGATTGGAGAAGGATCTCGAGACCGCTGCGCGGCTAGGTCAGGTACGTTGTTTGACTTGTTGTACCGATCCTCGTCTTGCATATCCTTGGGTGGTTGTTGGGCCGTCATGTCATTTGCATGGCTGGTATTTAGTTATCGTCGCTACATTTTTGTTGTACAGACGTTGTACATTCTTTGTACTTCATCTGCATTGCTAGTTGAGGCTTGAGATCTTCTTGTTTATCTTGTTTTCATCATTCATTTCTGCACAAATCAAGGAAATCGCCCGTGTGTCGCATCATGGCCACAGATTACCAACGTTCCCCGATTCTATCCAGCTGTTTTGTCCGTCCATGCATTTGCTTTGCCCTAAGGTTTGCAATGAGCGTGTCCTCGCTAACTTTTGCTCTCCAGGCTCTACTCCATCGCCATGAGTCTTATATGGCCGAGGCGGAAGAAGACCGCCGCCGGTTAGTTAACAACATTGAAATCCTAGAGCGCGAAAAGCGCCAGGTCGAGGCCGAGAATGCTCGGATTGTTGAGGAGAATCGCAACCTGCAGGACGAGCTAGAAGGCCTTAACAGGGCTGTCGTCGATTCCGACTCTTATGCCAAAACGCTGGCCGCCAGGCTTGAGAGGAACGAGGCGGAGCTGCGCAGTTTGACCGCCTCTGCTGCGCGTGCTGCTGATCTCGAGGCACAGCTTGCTCACATGGAGGCTGAGCAGTCGAAGTTGCAAGAAAGCTTGTTGATGGCTGAGGAAGGCTCGAAGTCGGCTATGACCCGGTGGAAGAAGGCGGAATGTACGCTTCGAGACCTAAACGACCAGGTGGATCGAATGGAAAAGGAAGCTAGCGAGGAGCGTGAACGACATACTGAATTGGTCCAGCGCATGGAGAGACGGCGTACGGTTGAGCGGGAGCTTGACGGCGCGGCTGGTCGACTCAAGGGAGCAGCGGCTGCTCAGAACCTAGCTCGGACCGGTGGAACAAGCGTGGTCTCGCGCTTCGTGAAGGACATTCTACAGGACAATGCGAATTTGCAGATGGGTATCGTGGAGCTGCGGGAAATGCTCGAGAGCTCCAACCAGGAGGTACAAAATCTGCGGGATCAGATTGTGTCGCACCAACCCCTCGCACCGGAATCTAACGGGGAGAGGCCACGCCCGATGAGAACATTGAGCCAGGAATTGGATGCCAACGAGTCGCGCCGGGTGTCGCAAGAGTTTCACATCCATCACCACTACCACACCCCGCCTGTTCCAAAGAAGGAGAAGAGCACTCTTTTTCGTCGGTCCAAGAAGCGTCGTTCCTTGGGCAATCCGCCTATGCATTTTAATTCAAATACGCAGCCCTCCCGCAAAGTCAAGCATCGTTCTCAGCCTTCTACATCTTCTGCTTCGACGATTCTATCGCACACATCCGTCTCGATCCCGCCGACCACGTCTCATCCTCATCGGTTGTCATTGCATTCTCCTGTTCCGCCTGATTCCATGGCCAGTTCTCCTCAATCAGTTTATCGTTCGTCTATTTCTATATTTGATCGCGTGGAGCGTGGATTTGAAACGTCGCAACCTACCAGTCCTGACAGTGCGATATTTACGTCGCCGTTGAGAAATAGCCGGTATAAAAGTGGTGGTCCCTCCGACGCCTATCGCACACTGGACGGCACTGACGATGGGACCATGAGTGAGGACGAGTTTAGCGAGTTTCAATTGCAATCAGTAATACCTGAAGAAACAGAGGATACAACGTCGGTCTCCCGGCCGCAGTCACCTGCTGCCGATGATGATATCTTTTCCACCTCCACGCCGTACCGGAGGATGCGTCGGGCAACCTCGCATGAGAGTCTATTCTCCGTTGCAGGCATGGACATCCACACGCCCAGTCATCGTCCATCCCGTATGAGCGACTTCACGCCCGGCGCCCTACCGCTACGAGTGCGGCGCCGAATCATGTCATCCGAGCTCGCCTCTACACCACCAACAACCTCCGCCATCACTGTTACCGCAGGAAGAGATCCCGCCAAGCCATCTTCATCTCATCAATCACCTCAATTCATCCTTGCTTCTGTAGCTGGCCCTAGACAATTACAACAAGAAGCCGAAGCTAATCCCTCGCCACAAACGATCATGGACGATTCCACTCTTACTCCAACCCGGATCCTTTCCATCGGCAGCCGAGTCGGCGGCTGGGTTCGCGGCCGCTGGGGAACAGCCCCGACCTCGTCACCCCACGGCGGCCTCAACCCACTCACGGAGGCGGGCGAGCACTGCCAGAGCCCAGCGCAGTCCTGCGCCTCCTCGACGCACTCCGTCGAACACCCGGAAAATCCTCCCTGCTTGACCCCTCAACCTCGAAAACGTCAACCACCCCGGTTCCGCTACCCTGGTGTCAACCAGAAGGGTCCCATTATGGGGTTCCGCCCTCCGCCTCCCCCTCCTGTTTCCATCCATGCTGAACAGATTGACGAGGGGCTGCTGAGGGAGAGCTTGGCTGAGTAAATTTACCACCCTTGCCCTCCTCCTTTTCCTCTCCTTTCCCACTCGCCATATACATTTCCTACATCTACATGTTTATGCGCAGATCTTTTTTTTTGACTTATTTACCCACTTGCATTGCGTTGCGTTTTGGTAGGTTGCAATGCAGATTCTGGACCCTGGTCGATTTCTGTCTGATTGGCATTCCCTTTTCAAACACGCTGCTATATACATAGATTATGATACCCACGCGGAACGCTTTCCCCCTCTTATTTTTACATATACATGTTGATTTTCCATTTCTCTGCCTTGTTTATATAATCATATTTTCAAGGTGCGGAGGCTCCTAGCTCGTTCTTTGGTCGTGGCATTTTTCTATTCCATCTACCTTACAAAGATCTACCATGAATGATATACTATTTTTGGTTCATTGATCTAAATTCGATAACCACGGTCTTTTTTTTTTTTTTTTTTTTTTAATTTTTCGGGTTGGAATAACGTCGTACTATACTAGACAAGCGGTTCCGGCCGCGGCGCCGTAGGCGCCATTAGCGGCCCTTATCTTCCCAATTGTCGGCCGCAAGTAAAACTTAGAATAAATAAAATAATAAGAAACTATAGATTAAAGGAATATTTACCGCATAAATACATGTATAAAAAAATAAAAAAATATTATAAATATTTATTAAAAGGTGGTTAAACTACCCACGGGCCTTAGGGTTTAGTAAAATAAAAATATTTAATAAATACTTAGCTATATACTTATTAACCTAGGTTAATTAATTTATCCTGCCTATAAAAAATATATATTATACTTAAATACTTATATTAAGTAGTTATAGGCCGCGGGAGCTACTTTTAAATAAGATTATAAGGCTAAAAATTTAATTTTATTTTTTTTTTTTAGGGCGTTATACACTATTAAATAAAAAAAAGGTAATACTTAAAAAAAATAAAGTAATGCTATTAAGACTTTAAGCTAAAGCCTTTTATTATTTATAAGTATAAACTTAAATAAAGCTATTTAATACTTTTAATATAGGCTGCAGGCAGTACCTTAAGTAAAAAATTTTAAATATTTAGCCTTTATGCATAATAACTTTAAAAAAATACTAAGGGCTAATTAATATTACTAATAAATAATATTTAATAATATATTATAGGTATTATTAAAGTGCTAATACTTAAAACTAATTTTAGCTAGTAAAAATTAGGGTAACCTTATTATATAATATACTTTTTTAACCTTATAAAGGGCATAAAAAAAATAAAGCTTAAATATTTTAAATATTTTATACTAGTGTAAGCTAGTTCTTACCCAGGGAAGGTTTAGCTTAGCTAGCCTATTTAAATTTAAAGGTAGCCCCTATAATATAGCTAGTATTATTAAGGGCTATATATTATAAAAAATATTATATGCTATTTTAAATAATATATTTAGTAAAGGGGGGGCGCCTTATTTACTTAAATATAAAATATTAATACTTATATTACCTATTATTTTAATAATTATATATATACTATACACACCATAAACCACACACTATTTTTATTAAATTAGTTTATTAAATTAGTTTATTATAATAGTAAGGTAGGACCTAAAAGCCCTACTAAGTAAAAAATAATATTATAAGGTTAAAGCCCTAAACCCCTAAAAAAAAATATAACCTGCTAGTGGTAAAGCACCCAAAGTAGACTATTAAGCCTTTAAAAAATATTATAAATTTAAATAATAGCTAAATTAACCTAAAGCAAACTATTAAGTAAAAAATTTAAAAAAAAAACTATAAACCTAAATAATAATTAAATTAACTTAAAGCACACTATAATAGCAAGAAAAATATTATAAAAATTTTTTAAAATCTTATTTAAATTACGCCTATAGGAGCTAACTAAAAAAAGCCTTATAAACTTTACTTAAAATAATATATTTAAAGGTAATATTTAAGTATTATTATTTAAAAAGCTCCTCCGGGAGCATCTTAAATAGCTTGTTTAAAATATATTTTTAAAAGTAACTTAGGTAAAAATACTTACTTAAAAAGTATCTTTAGGAGCACCTTAGGGCTATTAGGCTTAGCCTAAAATTAGTAATAAAATTACTTATAAAACTATTACTAAAGTTACCATGCATGCACTATTTAGGTAATGCCTTTAAGGGTAACTTAAACATCTATTTAGGTAATATTTTTACTACTTAAATACTTATTTAGGCAGTGCTTTTTACTACTTAAACACCTTTTACTTTAGGAGTACCTTTAAAAGTACCTTAGGGCTATTAGGCTTAGCCTAAAATTAATAATAAAATTACTTATAAAACTATTATTAAAGCTACCATGCATATACTATTTAGGTAGCGCCTTTAGGGGTAACTTAAATACTTATTTAGGTAATACTTTTTATTACTTAAACACCTTTTATTCTAAAAGTATTTTTAGGGGCACCTTAGGGCTATTAAGCTTGGCCTAATATTAGTATTAATATTACTTATAATATTAATACTAAAGCTGCCGTGCATGCACTTTATCCCTAGGTATATTAAAGTAATTTAATAATAAATACTAAGCTTTAGTATACTTTTTAAAGCTAAGTGCCTATTTTTTTATTTAAAAACTAATAATAATAAATTACAAGAACATAATAAAGTTAAAAAAAAAAAAAGGTAAATTAAAATAGGTATATTAAGTTAATATTAGCCTGGGTACTAATTAGTACTAGGATGCCTATTATTAAAAGGTACTAAGGCATAAACTAATAAAATAAAAGCCTAAAAAAAAGCCTAAAAAAGAAGCCTAAATATAAAAGCCTAAATATAAAAGCCTAAATATAAAAGCCTATTAGTAAAAGCCCATTAGTAAAAGCCTATTTAGTAAAAAACTAAACCTTTAAATAAAACACTTGGACACTTAAGTGAAAAAAGTAAAGATAAATAAGGTAAATAATTTTAAAAATAAAAATAAAGTTAAAATATAAGCTTATTATATATATAGCTTATAAATTTTTTTAAGCTAGTTAGTTAATAACATTTTAAATAATATTAAAAATAAAAAAAATATTTTTTATAAACACTATGCTTTATTACTATATATTAAAATAATATTTATTAAGTATTATTAAGTAGCTACCTACTTCCTACTAGTCCTTTTTTTACCTGTTAAGGGAGTTTTACCTAAAGAAATGTTAGCATTTTAATTAAATATAAAATTTAACTTTTTAAGCTTTAACGCCCTAGTCCGCGAGGACCTGGAAAAATCCTACTTATTTAATTTTAATTTTAAATTTAACTTTAACTTAGACTTAAAGCTTAAGTTTATATAAAAAAAATTAATCTTATTTTTATGCCTTATTATAGGTACCTTAGGCTTTAATACCTTAGGTTTAACCTTTAGTACCTTAGGCTTAAACTTATTTACCTTTAGTACCTTAGGCTTAAATATATTAAATTTTACTACCTTAACCTTAGGCGTAGGGATATTAGCCTTAAATATATTAATTTTAAGTACCTTAAGCTTTAATATTTTAGCCTTAGGTAAATTATTAAATAAAAGCAAAGGCTTAGGCTAAAATAAAGGTTTAGCTTAAAAAGTAAAAGTAAAAAAAAAAAGGGTAGTTACTTAGCTTGGTATAAATAATAATATTATTAATTATATTAATAGCAGGCATGGTGTTTTTTTTCACGGGGTTAGTATTATTTTATATATTTTTTATAGGCTTAGGGCTATTATTATAAGGGTTTAATTTTATTAATAAAAGTTTTTTACTAGCTATCTTATATTTACACTTTTTTAAGGCGCTATTATTAAAACACCTAGTAATAAGGGCATCCGCGGTAAATAAGATAAATAAAATATTAAAAATATTAATATAAACATATGTTATTTTTTTATAAAAAAAAAAGCCTACTAAGATACTAGTAAACTAAAAAATCTAGCTAATAGCTAGTATTAAAAACCGGGATAAACAGGCACTATTAATTTTATAAATAACCTAAAACATAGTATAAGTTAGGGTAAAAAAGTTTAAGGTTTTTTTAGTATAATTATACACTATTATTTTAATAATCCAGGCCTTAACACCTTTTTTATTAGTAACCTAGTTAATAAAGCAGCTAATAAAGGTAATTATTGCCTGTAATAAATTAGGGCAGGTTTTATTATATTTAAGCTTAAAAAAATTACCGGGAATACTAAAAAAAAAAAGCAAGTTAGTAAATAATATATTAATAATATAATAAATATATAGTAACATAAATTTTATATAAATAATAAGGACTAGGTAGCCCTTAGTATAATTAATAATAAATAGCTAGCCCTAGTAATAAGCCACTACCTTATAGTAAAAATTAACATGCTAATAATTTTAAAAATTAATAATTAAAGGTATATTATCCTAAGGGCGCTTGGTATTATTATAATAGCCTAAATTTAGGCCCTAAATTATAGCTAAAATATAAGGCTTGCTATTCTTGCCTTTATTAACCTTATTTAGGTATAGTAAGTTATTAATAAAGTAATAGGTGTTATTAAGGGTCTTGCAAATAAAAAAAAATATAATAGTAATAATAATAGTAATAACAGTAGCAGTAATAAAAAAATAAATAAAAAAAAAAAAAAAAWAAWAATTATATAGGAAGAAAGAGACCTTAAATAAAAACTTTAATAAATTAATAAAAGCCTGAATATAAAAACACTAAACTATAAAAAGTAAAGGCAAAAAAAACCAGGCTAAAACAGGGTTATTAATAAAGTGATTTTATAGCTAAAACTAAATATAATATTAGGCTAAAAATTTATAGCCTGCGCTAGTTTTTAAAACTAATAATACTTTTTTATTTTAATATACTTAGTATTATCCTATTCCGCCCTCCAGGCGGTTTATATATATATTTTATAAAAAAACTATATTAAACTTACTACTTTAATAATAACCACCTGGCTATAACTCCTGGCGGGCTTATAGTAAACCGCATATATTAAATAATATAATAAATAGGGGGATAACTTAACCTGCTTTTAAACCTTTAA